GTGTGCCACCACAGCAATTTGACCACTGATTGCTACTGTCCTACAATCAGGTCAACATTTCTCTTCAAATCAACTAATTCATTCTCATTTATTTACTAAAATAACCTGTCCCTGTACGCGTTAGCCTCATGCTAACAAAATCCCAGGCTTGACGTGTCAGTTATTGAACTCAGTCAAACTAGACAGGTAACTAATCAACGTAAACTGTGCGTCATGCGCCCCTAGAATCACGTCTGGTGCCACCCAGGCCGGCACTGCCTTTCGAAATGCCACCTGCTCTCCCCCCGCACGGCTCCGTCTGTTTGAAGAACACTCCAGACCGCCAAGTGGCTGACAGGCCTCCCGCACAGCTCCTGCTGCTCCCTGCCTCTCCATCTCTCCCCTGACAACCCCTCCGCGGGGCCCACCTCCACCGGGACTAATTACGTCTCCCTCAGCCCCGTGTGCTGATTCACACCTCCCTGCTACCTTCCCTGCCGCTCCCGGAGTGCCCGTTACGGCCTCATCCACCTGTCAAGCAGCTCCTCATCTTACACGACTCTCAAGGAGGACAGAGGCAGTGGGGCCCCCCCTGACGGCCCCTCCTTGTCTCTTCCCTCAGCAAACTGGGCCAGCGCCGGGCAGAACATCTCCAAGGCTCTGTTGCCGTGGCTCGGAATATCAGACCCTGAGCCCTTATAGAAGCATCTGGCCTGCCTGTGGCCAGGCACACAGCAGGTGCTCAGTAATTGTTGAGCAAAGACCAGAGGCTGTGTGTGCAGATGGAAGGAGACTGGAGTTCATAGGTAAAATACCTGGTTTGGAGTTGGGGCCTTTCCACCTCCCGAGTTGTGTGACTGAAGCTGGAAACTCTTGGCCTCTCCTTTTCTGAGTCTCTGCTTCCCCGTCTGTAAGATGGGGGCAACAATACCCACCCCAAAGGCCCGTTGTGAGGAAGGGCAGACAAGTAGGTGCAGGCTTCTCAGACTCGAGAACTTTACAGAAATGGGCGCCTTATTGTTGGGGTGGTGACAAGGATCCTGATGATTAATGTGCTTTGGTCATCCAATTAGCACTGTCGCTGTTCCCTCCGGGAGCCGCGTGCGCTCTCCCCCTGATGCGAACACTGCTGGCCCAGGGTCGCCAAGGAGGGCAAGAATTACCAGCCTGTTTATTTAACATTTAGGGAGCCAGCGCATTTTCCTGCACCTTGTCTGCAACACTTAAGCCAATATTTGCGTCTTCGGGATTCTATTTGGATGGTAATTTAAAAATAGGGTTTGGACTTCCAGCCGGCCTTTCTCCTGAAACTCTGAAAGCACATTAATTTTCTAGACGGTAAAATAAGGCCATAATTAAATATTACCATTTCTCTTAAAATAAAATCTGGTAACTCCTAACAAAATGGGTTTTTTGAAACATGATGTAGGTTTTCCCACAAAGTTGCACTCTAGGGAAATTCCTTATTTTGAATGTATGAGAAAGACCACGAATTTAATCTCAACACTATGTAAGAAAAATTGATTTGTTAAATTACAATCATTTTCTTGCATTTAAAATCTCCATGCTTCCTGTCTTGGCTGACCCCAAGGCTCCCCTCTATGCGTCTTTGGGGAAAGTCTGGAGGAGCCAAGATGTTTTGCCTCATTGTTTATCAAGCTTCCCAGATGCCCTTTCTTATGGTTCCCATTGGGGTTTTTGTTCTGTGTTGGAAACTTTGAAAGGAGGCAAGGCTCTGTGACCCCATTACCCTTGCCCTTCAGTCTCCAAATGCGTTCTCTCTGCGATTGGAAACAGAGATCTCCCGGGGAAGAAAGCATGGGCCCCAGAGCTGGCCTTCATGGGCTCCCTCTTCACCAAGGTCACGTGGTCCGCGGGTGCCTGGGGGCCCTGGGCTGCAGGAGGTGGTGCCAGGTTTCACCCCAGCCGCCCAACCACCCCAACGGAAGCTCAAGAGGGCCCCCTTGTGGAGACTCCCGGGAACAGCCCAGTGAGTGGTGTACTTCCCCCAACGCTGGGGCTGCTCCCTGTGACCCCCAACATGTCCGGGCAGTTCTCAGACCCAAAGGCACTCAGCGGAGACCACCAGCTCCATCCTTCCCTCCTCAAAACGTCAATATTTCTTCGAGATGAGTAGGTGGTTGGCCCCTCCCGGGAAGACCTGGTGGAGAACCAGCTCCCAAGGCCCCATGAAGAGTTAAGCTCCTCAAGGTGCCGCCTGAACTTCCCTTCTCCTGAGCCCTTTTCCGGGAGTCTTCACAGAGATTACACAGACGTCTTCTTTCTTATTGAATGTGTCAAAACCTTGTGATTATCTTGCCAAATTCCTGTTCTGTAGAACAATGAAAGCTTCAGTCTTCTGCCAAGAGAGCGAATAAGGATTCAATCCAATGGGAGACTTCTAGACTCACGTTCTGTTTAGCAAATACTGACTTGCAACTACGCCCCTCAGGGCAGACCCCAGAATGTTCGGGAAGACCCAGGCTCACTCAGAGGCACTGGGAGAGCTCACGCTCTACTGCCCAGGCCCTGACTCCCCCTCGCCCTGCTCCTCAGAGCACAGGACGGATTGGAACGTTTGTATCAGTGGAGAGCATTGACCAAATTTGGTATGAATTATGAATATCTAAGGGCCAACACGCGGAGCTGGGAACATAGCCGCTGAAGGCAAGCTGACGAGGCCTTGTCTCCAAGACACCAGAACATCTGGGTAAAAAGAGAAGAACTTCCATCAATCACCCTGATGCCTTGGCTATTTGGAAACAGCTGGGCTCTGGCTGGAATTTTCCAGTTTTCATCTGGGTGGAAACCCAGCCAGAGTGAGCAGTAATTAGCATTATCATGGGGCCGAGGGAGAGTCTTCATGTGAACAGATTTTATGCTGGAACATTCCTAAACAAACAAACAAACAAAAAAACTAGCTGAGGAGCCCGGCCTGGGGGGCCAGACTCTGTCTCCCCGAAACCCCATTCTTTCCCATTCTGTGAGCCGTACGGTTCCTTTTCCCTTAGCAGGAAATGCTCAACACAGCCCGTGGGGAGATGTCTGCGTGGCCAGCCGCTCCCCTGGACAAAATGTTTTCAATTTTGGAAACACAAACACGAAACAATCACCTTCTCCGGGTGGCACCAAGCAAGACCCACCTTTTCCACTGACCCCTTGGTCCAGCCAGACCTGGGACTTTTCAGGGAGAACTAAAGGAACAGTGACAAACCAAATCGTGTCCCTTCGGGAGCCTCTCAACACTCTGATGTCTGACTCTGATGCTGTCCTGCTTCTCACCAGCTCAGAATCTGCTGCTCCAGACACGCAGTCCCTCCTGAATTCCTCAGGGCAACTTGCAACTCTCTGAGGTCACCAAGCAGAGGAGGGCACGTGTCAGTGTCCTGGGACGCTGCCGGGAGTGGGGCGCCGAGGTGCTTTTCCTAGAGCACACCATTTCTGACTTTCCAAAAATGCAAAGTCCATCCCACCTCTACCCCAACCCCTGGCCTTAAATGCAGAGCCCCTTGGCTTCGCTGGATGATGACAGTCAATGACTGCCAAATGAGGGACATATGAGGAATCTGAAGACCAGCCATCTACTCCTTAGAATTCAAAGTTTGTCTTCCTATTTCTGTGATTTGCTGGTACTGTCATAGCATGCCAATCTGTAACCTTCTCGGGGGAGTTTCAATGGAAACTCTGCATGCCTTTTGTGCGATGACTTCATTGGAAAGCACATCTTTTGCTGTAGCAACGCAGAGACGGCTGCCATTTCAACAGCCGGAATCTGAAGCTCGTTGGCGAAGCCGCCGGTGCGGACCACTGCACGCCAGCACATCTCAATTTGTAAAAGGCGGCCGCCTCTAATCAAGGGAGGTTATTTTTTGGGTGGAGATTTTTATTTAAAATGTGCATAAGCTTCCAAGTGCAAACATTCTAGGTGAATTACCTCAAGCTGAGGATTTTGAAATAAACCAGAGGGTTTCGGACTTTTTTTTTAAGCAAGAGAACACTTTTTCCAAAGTAAATCTTAATTAGCATCCTAGTATAGAAACCAGAGGAAAGGGTAGGGGCCGCTCAGGCTAAAGCTGGGGGTGGGAGACTAGAGCCCAATACACAAGGTCTCCCCTTCTCTCCCCAAAAAACCACCGGTGGTCTTCAGAAACCAGTTTGAAAACCTCTGACACAGCAAGACGGGGCACACACACTGGCATTCTCGAGCTAGACCTATGCATCCAACACGACAGCCACCAGCCACATGTGGCGCCTGAGCCCCGGAAACGTGGCTGGTCTAAAACTGAGTTGTGCTGTGAGTGGAAATACACACCCGATTTCAAAGACTTGTATGAGAAAAAGTATATAAAATATCTCATTAACGGTTTTCATACCTATTGCATGTTGAAATAATATTTGGGGCTGGATAAGAATATTGTTAAAATTAATTTCACCTGTTACTTTTTAGCTTTTTAATGTGGCTACTAGAAAATGTAAAGTCACATATGTGGCTTCCATTTGTGGCTCCTGTTCTTTTTCTGTTGAACAGTGCCATGGAGCTGGGCAGAGCCTTCCCCAGGGTGTGGAACCACATCGAGGTCATGGTTTAGCTGGGGCAGTTCCAAGGGTCAACACAGGCTCTAAGGCAAAGCACCTGGCATCAGCTTCTTATGCTGGATCCAGCCTGTCCTCGAAGCTCTCTGCAGGATTTGAGGCTCATGCTTAAATCTCCCGTCACCTACTTCTCTTTGCTCTCTGCCTGCTTGGATCAGCCTGGGCCCCCAGCCTGCTGAGGACTCCCTTACTGACTATCCTTTCACCCTCAGCCAGATTCTTACTATCCCAACCCCAGCCTTCTCTTTCTCCTCTTCCATTTCAAGTCTGGCACTAATAGCCATACACAGGATGGAAATCATCAGCTGACTTTTAGGAGCTAAGTCCTGAGGAGTGGGAGAAGTATCAACAAGGACCTCACATGCATTGGTCCTTGGAGCACAGGTCACTCATTCATTCATTCAACTAAAGTAATTAAGACTAGCATTTATTGAGCACTTGGTGAAGGCACTGTTCTGAGTGCTGTCTGTGTCTTAACACAACAGATACTGAGCATCAGGCATTGCTGGGTGCTGGGAATCAGCAGTGAGCAAGAGAGATAAGGACCTGTCCTCATGCAGCTGGCAGACTAGTGGGGGAGACAGTGAGAGGAAGGAAGGGAGAAAGGGAGGGAGGGAGCAAAGGAAGGAAAGAAGGAAGGGAAGAAAGAAAGAAGGGAGAGAGAGGGGAGGAGAGAAGGGAGGAAGAAAGGAAGGAGGAAGGAAAGAAGGAGGAAGGAAGGAAGGAAAATGTTGAGGAGCATAGAGTGACACCTCAGTTGCAATGAGCACACCTAGGCCCTACATCTTGGTTTCTAAACACCATTTTCAAATAAAAGGAACCAGGACTCCTTGGAGAAATGGCTGATTCCAGGGCTGGGGTAAGGAAAGTACAAAATGAGCCTGGAAGGTCTTCTGGTGCCAGAAAATGAGGAAGTGCTCAAAAAAAAAAAAAAAATGACAAGGGCGTGTAGAAAAGACACAAGAGCTAAGTTGAAGGAGCTCCCAATGGTCAAATCAGGGACAATTTGAGCAAGAAAATAATGATAGCAATGGTTTATAACCTATAAAATAAATATCCCTGAGTTCATACTAACACAAATAACAGTTGAATAAAGAGATAAATGGAGAGAAGGGACAGTGCTTCCTTATAGCACAATTCACAATAAATTCAGAAAGAATGATGAACTAGAGAATGACCATTTGGAAAACACCACAGTAATAACTGCTGTAGGCAAGAATTGTCAATGGTCATCAAAAGATGCTAAAACTAGTGAGGGGGAAATTATAATGAAAAACAAGATATTTGCCATATCTGTAAGTATATCCCCATAAGGTAATTATTAATTACAAAGAGAAAAGTAGTAATTCAACAGTGGAGTTACCTGGCAGACAACTCCTTAAACAAGAGATCAAAGTTAACATCACCAGTATTGGGACAAATTGACATCGTGTGCCCCCTGACACGATGCACTGAGAAGGACACAACATCGCTGCTATGGTATTCGTACCGAAACTGAATTTAATCATGAGGAAACATCAAACAATCCAAAATTGAGGAACACACTACAAAATAACTGGCTGGTACTCTTCAAAAGTGTCAAGGTCATGAAAGACAGGGACCAAAAAAGTGTCGCCATTTAAAGGAGACTAAGGAGATGTGACAACTAAATGTGATGTGCTGTCTGGATCGGGTCCTGGACCAGAAAGGAGACATCAAAGGGATAATTGGTGAAACTTGCATAAAGGTGGCAGATTAGTTAATAACATTGTATCAATGTTAATTTCCTAGCTTTGATCCTTGTACTACCTCTCTGCAAGGTTAACCTCTGGGGAAACTGGATGAAGGGTATTCTAGAACTCTTTCTACTGCTTTGGCAACATTTTTTAAGTCTGAAGTTGTTTCAAATTGAAAAGTCAAAAAGTAAACAGAAATAAAAAACAGAAAGCAGGTAAATAATCGCCAGACGTGATGAGTGCTCCACGGGAGACTCAGCAGAATGGAACGTTCGATGTCAGCCTGCCGGGAAATGCCGTTTATGCTGAGACTTCGATGCAGATCGAAAGCCCAGCACAAAGCAGGGGGAAGAGCGGCGCTCTGGCTGAGGAACCACACGTGCAAGGGCCCCGAGGCCGGAAAGGGTTTGCCTGTTGGTCCCTAGGAACACACAATAGAGAGTACAGTGGGATCTCATGGATGATGCTGGAAGGATGGGAAGACGGCCAGTTTTGAAGGGCCTCGTAGATCTTAAGGAAATGTGTGGGTGTTACTCCAAGTGCACTGGGAAGCCATAGGAAGTTTTTGGCTATCATGTAAATTTCCTTTGAGACACTTATGATGCTTTGAAACCATAGTCCGTCGTGGGGCTATTTGATGAATGCCAGCCTCTCCAAGAGAACAGAAACTCTGGCCATCACGTGCAGGCTTATAAAGGCACATAACAGCCATTCAGTGTTTGTGTGGGGGTGAAGGGATGAAGGAACAAAGCTTAGGCTGCTGGAGGACCCAGACTTTGGATGGCCCCTGGTATCTGCTGTGAGTTGAATCGTGTCCTCAAAAAGATGTTTAAACCCTAACGTCTGGTACATGTGACTGGGACCTTATTTGGAAATCAGGTCTTTGCAGATGTAATCAAGTTGGGACGAGGTCATATTGGAATGGGGTGGGCCCTCATCCAGTGACTGGTGTCTTTACAAGAGAAGGGAGAGGGACATTTGGATACAGAGATGCAGATGCAAAGAGAAGACGGCCGTGTGAAGACAGAGGCAGGGGCGGGAGTGAGGCATCTACCAGCCAAGGAACGCCTGGAGCCCTCAGAAGCCAGAAGAGGCAGGAGGGACCCTCCCCTCGAGCCTCGACAGAGCCTTGATTTCAGCCTTCTGGTCTCCAGACTGTGAGAGAATGGAGTCCTGTTGTTGTAAGTCTCCGGGTTGGTGGTGCCTCGTCGTGGCAGCCCCAGGACATGCAGCCACCCTGCCTCTGCATTCCCGACGTGAATTGACGGGTGACCTCAGTCTCTCCCTCTTCTTTCTGCGCACCCTCCTCGGGCTATTTACCACGCCCGCGAGTCCCTTATACATTTCCTTATGAAATGTTCTTTACTTAAGGTATTGCTTAATATTTTAAAATCAAGTTCAGACCAACCCCCTTTTAAAACTCAGTCTCGTTCTCGGCACTGTGAGCTGTGAAAACACAAATTTGCTACAGTAACTGAGGCAGCTTTTCAAGCTTTTCAACACCCTCTACCATCAATGCATAATCATTGGCGTAAGAAATGCTCACCGTTGCACCTAAAATCACCTGGCACACCTCCCAGAACCTCGGAACAAGCCAATTAGGAGAGGAAAACCAGGTGCTTTTCTGGTGCTTTTCGTCCCCAAAAGAAAGGTGTCTGAAGACCGGATATTCCTCCATCTGCTCCGGCTACAAACCCTGCGTCTTCCTCCACTCCCCTCCCCTCTGCATTCACACCTGTGCTTTTTGTGAGGAAAACAAGGGTCGTGGACCTGGGTGTGAAACTTCTCTAAGCCTCCATTTTCATCTGTAAAATGAGGATAAACACGTCACCTAGTAGAAGTGTTGTGAAGAGTAGATAAGAAAAGGGCGCATATTTTTTTATTCCATTTATGTGAAATATCCAGAATAGGCAAATCCCTAGAGACAGAGCAGATTAGTGGGTGCCAGGCTGTAGGAGGAGGGCGGAATGGAGAGTGACAGCTTGTGCTATGGGCTTTCCTTTTAGGGGTGATGAAAATGTTCCAGAATTAGAGAGTAGTGATGGGTGCACAGCATGGTGAATGTCCTAAATGCCACTGAATTTTACTCATATACTTTAAAATGGTTAAAACGGTGAATTTTTTGTTAGGTATATTTCAGCAAAATTTACTTTTTAATTGGATAAGCAGCGTCCGCCTGGGGTAGAATGACATTGGCCAAGCCTCTGCACCCCTCTGAGCCTCGGTTTCCTCATCTGCAAAATGGGGCTGTTGAGAGAACCTACGTCATGGCAGGTTTGCAGATTGCACCTGTCGGTCTATAGGAATGGCCAGCACGTGGCAGCACTCCTTCAGGGGCCAACGGGCTGCCTCCCCTAGGCTCGCAGGGAGGCCTCACGGCCATGATGGAGACAGAGCAGCTGCTCTCTAGACAATCTCAGCCAAGTGCCCACGCTCAGGAGAGGCCTAGCAGATGTCCTTTCCCCCTTAAGGCCCCAGGCAGGTTCTATATGGTGTCTGCTGTGTGGCCCGTTCCTGGCATTCTGACCCACGTAACACATCAGGCTGGGGCAGATCATATTCTGAACCCGTCTTAAAGCCTCGTCTGGGCAGTTGGGCGCTCTGGATTTAATTCTGCAGGTAATTTGAACGATGGTTTCTAATTTCAAAAGTCCTTGCTCTCATGAGTGCAAAAGCAGCATAATTTTTAATTAGTGGGTAAACAGGAAATAATGGATGGCGGTACGTGGACACCACTGTTAATTAAAAGTCCGTGGTTGATAAAAATCCATTTGGCCCATGCCCTTAACTCAGTCTGTCAGGTCCCTGTGCAAAGTCCTGCGGCTCGGGCCCCAGCAGCATCTGCTTTCAGTCGTTACTCCTTTAGTTAAGACTTTTCTAGGGAAGAAAAAAGGGAGGAGGAGAAAAGAAACTGAAAAAGCTCCCTCAAAAGCTGCAACTGAAAAAGACTTCCTGCATCCATTTATAACTGGTTAATTTAATTTTTGCTGCCTTGAAGTGGAAGTTTCACCAATGGCCGAGAGGCGACGTGACCTCCGCTCCGGTGTGTTCACAGAGGTCTCCCGTTGTGTTTTGTGTTCTGTGCTTAGTGTGTGCATGTTCTGAATCCAGTGAGATTCCACCGTGTCTCCAAGTCTCCTGACTCAATTAAATCCTAATTTCGCACCGAAAAACAAGGCAAACCAAAACACAGGTAGCGGAAACACACTACCTGAGGATTTGTGACGAAATACAACGTGGCCAGCCGTCTCCTCTTGGTGCCTTCAGAGAGAGCACAGGGGACAGGCTTGTTTTCCTTGGAACAGGAAACATTTCCTCCAGGAGCCGAGCTGTGTGCAAACGATGCCATTATCATTTTCCAGCCGCTCGCGATTTCGCTCTGAGATGGAAGCTTGGTTTTCTGAACGGGCAAATCACGTCGACCTCCTGTGGTCCTTTTCCTCTCTTTCCTTCCATCCATCCTCCAAATCAACACTTCCCCACAGGTTTTGTGGACACCGGTGATGTGCAAATTAACCTGCAGACCTGAATGCAGGGCACCCAGTGTCTCCTGAGGAGTTGACTGCAGGAGCATGAGAAGGTGTGAGGTGTAGACCCTGCTGTGCAGTGGGGGACCCCAGGCCTCCCCAGGCCCTCTCTGGCCCCGCTGCCTTTCCTGAACCCGAGGGGGAGATGTGAATGTCCAATGGGGGAGGGGACAGGATATATCATTCATTCACTCCTCCACTCAGCCCGAAAGCCTTCCTGGGGCCTCCTGGACCCCCAGGGCCTGTCCCTCTGTGCTGGCCAACATCTCCAGCAGGCCCCTGGCGCCCCCTGACCCACTTCGGCCACAGGCTAGGTGGGAAGGAGTGCCGTTGGAAAGCCCTGTTGCAGGAGCTGGGCCAGCGGGTCGAGGCCGGCCGCCCCCTGAGCATAGCTCGTTGCTGTAATATTTGGATGCTGCTCGCTGCCAAGCTTCCCACAACATCTCGCCATCTGGGCTGCATCAAGCCCGACCCTCTGAGTGGAGATGACGGTTTCTGGGGGAATTGCTGCTCTTTCGCAGCTGAAGCCCTGGTCCTCTCGCCCCTGAGCAGCCCCTAGAAGAGATTCTGTCTGAACAGTCCCATGGCCGGGCCTGGCTTGTCTCCACAAGATGCGCACATCTGGGGTCACTCAGGAGGGCCTGGGGCCCTGGGCCCTGCCCTGCTGCTCACAGGCATCCTCCCTGAGGCCTCCGATTCCTCTCCCGGCCCCACTGTTGGCCTCGTGCCTCAGCCTGGACACCCACCACACACTTAGTGAGCACCCGCTATGTGCCAGGTGCCGGCCGGGGTCCCACGGATGTGCAGATGGACAACACAAGGGCCTGGCACCGAGGAGGGACTGTGAAGTAAGTGGCCTCGAGGGGCAGGCGCAGGTCTGGCCTGCTCCATGTGGCAGGTCAAACAGAACCCAGACTCCTCAGTGGAGTGAGGTGGAAGCCCTGCCCCCATCTCCTCCGTCTGAGTCTCTAGTGCTCCTGGGCTGGGAGCACAGGGGCCCTCAGCTCCCGCCCGGTGGTGGTCAGACACGGCAGGCAAGTCTGCAAAGGGCCAGCCTTCCAGGAGTCTGGCTCGGCACAGTAATTCTTGGAGGCTTCCTGCCTGGGAATCTGGCATCCTCTGCCTGGAGGAGCCTTGAACTCCGTGGGAATCATACGATACGTACATCTGGGAATCCGGGAGGAGATGAGTCTGGAGGCTGATTCTAGGCGCCCCGAGGTGGGGAGCCCATCACTGTCTCTGGGGGGGCCTGGGTGCCCTGGGGAGGGACCGAGGTGGAGGTGGAGGTGGGGACAGACCTCTGCCTGGCTCTCTGCTGCCTCCTGGGCAGTGGCCCGGGGTGGGCTGGGCGGGCCGGCAGGTGGAGTGTCAGGCGTGTGCCAGGATCACTAACCAGGTCTGTTTGCTTTGCAGCCCGCACCGCAGAGGTGGCTGGGATGGCAAGGGGTGGCCACTTGCCCTGGGAACCGTCCTGCCAGCAGCCCCTGCCCCACACTGCGCTACTGCCCCCACGCCTTGAAGGGCCCTGGGTCTCCACTGGGTAAGACCCCTGGTTACCTTGACCACACCCCTGGGGTTGGGAGCCTTCACCCTCTCTGAGCCTCAGTGCCCACATCTGTGAAATGGGCACAATTCATCCAATTGTCCAAGAGGCCTGCTGCCTGCCAAGCACGTGGTTTTGCTCGCCTCCCCACCCCACAGAGCGAGCCTGGGCAGCACGGCCCGTGTGGGCATCACACCCTGCCACACACAGCAAACAGATGAAATCCATTTGTTCAACATATTCAGTGCCTACAATACAAGAACTTATTGAGTACCTACCATGAGCTGGATACGGGGGTGCACACTGGAGACAAGCACTAAACGTGTGAACGTAGAAATAAGTAATGTAAACTTGAGATGCTGCTAAGCTCTGCAGTGGAGGAAATAAAACCGAGGATGGGAAAGCGAGTGACTGAGAGGGGTCTTTTGAGAGTGGTCAGGGAAGGCTTCTCAGAGGTGGTTACATTCAGCTGAGAGGTGAAAGAAGAGGAGTCAGCCTTCCAGAGAGGCAGGGGAAGAGCTAGGTAGAGGAAGCAGCTGGTGCAAAGGGCCTGAGGCAGGATATGGCAGGCCAGAGAGGACCCAGGTGTCCTGTTTCACATCTAATTCTCTTTCTAACCTGACAGGCTAGCCTGACATTTCAGAGGCCCTGTTGCTGCTCCGGGGCAGTGGGCTTTATGCTCTGCCCTCACTTGTGGGGCACAAACTCTACAGCAGCCAGCTGAGTCCTCGTTCCCAGAGTAAGGCTGGGGAAGAAGGCAGGCAGTGGCCTCCTCCACCCCTAGCACGTGGCTTCCTCCCCCGCCATCCCTTTCAGACCAGTCCCATCCTGGGGTCAGAGGCTGACTCTCCGTGTCCTCCATGTGCCTCCTGAGGGCAGAGAGAAACCTGACTGCCAAGCATCTGCGAGCACTCTGGGTGGAGGGAGGGGACCTGAACTCTGCACAGCCACTGTGGATGCATTCCCAGGGTCTGCGCTGCCCCGACGCCACAGTCCAGGTGGGATCCAGGTCCCACTGGCCGGGGTCACTTGGAGACAGAACTGGGGCATGGGGACTGTGGGGATTGGGTTGCAGGCTGCTCCTGCCCCAAGATAACAGCATTCCAGAACAGTTCTTCTGGAAACTTCTAGAACTTTCTTCCTAGAAAGTTCCCCTTTGTGCTCTCCAGACAGGCTCTGCTGTTTCCTGGGAGTAGTGCAGGGAAGGACCCAGAGTCTGGGAACCACTAAGATGTCCAGTGTGACCTGCCGCGTCCCCTCAGGCACATCTCCCCCTCCCCGGCCTTGTCTGAGACTCGGTGAGGAGGGGCTGTGGCCCACCCTCCGGCGTGAGTCCCCCCTCTCCGTTTTTAACTACCACCGAAATTGGTATCTCCTTACGATTTTTCTTTAAACCAACTTGCTTTTGTTTACTTAAATATAATCATTTATTTGTACAGCTTTATTGAGGTATAATTGGTATATAGTAAACTGCACACATTTACAGTGTACACTAATTATTTTTAAAGGAAGCATAATATCACCCTGGATATGGAGAGCAGAGCCGCCTCCATAAATAGGAGGCAACTGTAGAGAGCAAGTCAATGAAAACAAACAGCATAATTAAATTCTCGCCAGATTTGCTGGCTGCCTAGGGCCCCGAGTCTGTTCTCTCTGGGAGGGACGGGGGTTGGCGTTAAAGACACTTAGCTCCAATGGAGACTGTCTCCTTAACGCAATCAGAAAGATGGAAAGAAAAGAAAAGGGAATTGTTTTCGCCCTGGGTGAGAACATGTTTCCTCTGCTCCAGCAGCCCTGGTATAAAAAATAGCCAGAAAATGGCCGTTCAGGCGGTCCCTGGCTACACTAACATTGCGAATGGGGACTTGCCGGCTCTCCCGGCACCCCCAACTCATCTACCATGCCCCCCATCTGAGCCCTGACGTGGAGGCTCCCAGAGGCTCCCCTGCCCCCAGCCCAGGGTGTGACTGTGGGTCTAGGAGTCATTTCGCTCCCCTTTGCTCCTAGTCCCACCCTATACTTGCTTTGCTCACCAGCAGGATAGGCCCGGGTGGGCCACCTGGCTTTGTAAATAAAGTTTTCGGGGCACACGGCCATGCCCTCCATTTATACATGGTCTCTGGCAGCGTTAGCTCTAGAACCACACCCCTGAGTAGTTGCAACAGAGACCACCTGGCCCCCAAACAAAAATATTTATTATCTAGCCCTTCATGGAAAAAGGTTGCCGTCCCCTGGTTTAGAGGACAAGCCTGTCGCAGGCATGGATGAAGCGTGGTCAGGCAGGTCAGCCGGCGAGGGAGGACAGAACGTAAGCGCCCAGCATCCGCACTCACTCATCGAGACCAGGGTGGCCCGCTGGGTGCGCAGGCCTGCCCCGCGGGGCCCCGGCTCAGGGCTCCTCGGTGGCACAGGGCAGCCCCTCCCGCGGCCGCTGCGCCGGACCGTGCTGGAGCGCCCGCCTGCTGGTGTGACACCCTACGCCCCAGAGCGAGGAGCTGGGCGGGATGCAGGCTCCCATTCCTGGGGGACAGACATGAGATTTGAACTCAGGTCCTGTGGCCGCCAAGCTAGCGTGCTTCTCAGGCCAGCCGGGATCCACGGGACCCGCAGGGACCCACGGCCCGGGGGAGGATGGCAACCGCAGGAGGCGATGGGGATGGAGTGGAAGGAGAACCAGAAGGTTGCGTTGAGGCCACAAGGCACCAAGTGGAAGGCCCGCCGCCCAAAGCGGGGGCAGAGAGCAGTCAGGGAAACCGAGGCTGTAGGGGCCCAGCCGGAGGGAGGGGGCCCCGTGCTCGGCCCAACGCGGATCTCCCTCCCCGGCAGCTGCGAGGTGCGCCCGGGCCCGGAGTTCCTCACGCGCTTCTACACCTTCTCGGCCACGCGCCTCTTCCGCGCCTACCAGTTCTACTACTGGGACCCGTCGTGCCGCCAGCCCGCCCTCTCCCTGCTCATCAAGGGCAGCCTGCGCCTGCGCCGGGCCTCCTGGGTCACCCGAGGCGCCACCGAGGCCGACTACCGGCTGCACAAGGTGGGCGTCGTCTTCCACAGCCGCCGCGCCCTGCTCCGCGTCACCGGGCGCCTCGACCGCAGCCGGGCCGGCCGGGCCTGCGCGCGGCAGCTGCCCCCCGCGCGGTCCTGGCTGCCCGGGGCCCTGTACGAGCTGCTGAGCGCGCGGGCCGGCCGGGACTGCACGGCCGCGCTGGGCTTCACCATGCACGAGCTCAGCCTGGTCCGCGTGCAGCGCCGCCTGCAGCCGCAGCCCCGGGCCGGGCCCCAGCTCGTGGAGGAGCTGTACCTGGGGGACATCCACACCGACCGGGCGGAGAGGCGGCACTACCGGCCCACTGGCTACCAGCGCCCGCTGCAGAGCGCCCTGGTGAGTCTGGGGCCCTGGGCGTGGGGGTGGGGCGGGGGGAGCTCTGAGCTCTGAGCCCCGGCCCAGCAGGCCCTGTATGATCTGGTCTCTGCCTAGGGCCGTCTCTGCTCCCTCACTCTGTCTGGTCTGCTTGCCTCAGGACATTTGCACATGCTGTTCCCTCTGCTTGAGACATCTTTTCTCAGGTCTTTGCAGGGCTGGCTTTTCCCAGAAGGAACCACTGTTCAGCCTGCCCACGTCTGACCCTCCTGACGTCCTCCGCGTGGGCCCTGAGGGGTCCCTTTCTACCCCTGCTGGGCATGTGGGCTTGGGCAGGTTCCCCTCCCTCAGTTCTGAGCTCCAATGTCCCGTCCAACCCGTGCTGGGCACATTCCCCAGCACTCTGCACACCCTGGGCTGCACTATCCGTTTGCTTGTTTCCTGCCTCCTTCTCCCTCCTGTGCCCTCTGTGTCCCCACCGTAGCTCGGGGTCTGGCACACAGTGGAGGCCTGTAAATGTTGGCGAATGAACTCGGGAGAAGCAGCCTTCCTCCAGGGCTCTGCTGAGCACCCACAAGGCCCTCAGAAGGCCACCCTCACAAGCTCCGTGTGGGGCATAGACCTCCTTGTCCACGTGGGCCCGGAGGCATGGAGCCGGCCCCTTCACACTAATGTCGGTAGAGCGCCCTCTCAGACTCTGCCTGTTCTCAAGACAGCATCAGCCGGGCATCTTCTTAGAATGCAGTCAGGCTCCAGGGTCTGGGATTCCGCATTTCTAACAAGCTCCCAGGTGGTCCAGGGACCGCCGTCTGGGCAGGAGGCTGCAGTCTAACGGGAGCCGCCCTCTCTTTGAGGTGGCCCCCCCCCAACACACACCCCGAAGTGAATTTCACTTAAGCCAGTGAACCTAGATTGTAGATTAAACCATCACACACGTACTGTCCCGATTCGGGGGGACCTAGCAGCGCTGTCTCGCCTGACGAGCACACAGACGGGAAGGACTTCATTTGTATCGCAAGCTCCTGGCACACAGCGCGGAGCCTGGCAGCACGAGGGGAGCCCGTGACCTCTCCAGTGCGGCTGGTGACCCTCGGGACCCCTCGTTAATAAGAGATAGGCCTCAAAGTCAGAGGTTCTGGAAGCGAGAGGGGTTTGTTGCCTACATTTACAATTAGAAGAAACTTTAACTTTTATTAGTTAGAGGTTAGTGAAAATGAAGTCGAGGTTAGGACTCCAGATTAAGAATGTCCGCAACAGGCACCCAAGGGATATTTTTGTAACGTGAGAATGGATGGATGGATGGGTGGATGGACGAGTGGATGGATGGTTGAGTTCAGGCGTCCTTGTCAAGTGCTCTTTGAGCCCTGAGGCAACCCTCGCATCATTCAGCATGTATTGAGTGCGTACTGTGTACCAGACACTCAAGGAATTAAACCAGATGAATTCTCACCCCCGGGAGCAGCCGCCTGTCAAAGCATGGGGGGCGGGGGCCACTGAGGATGAGCCTGTCTGCCCCTCCGCTCCTCCCTCTACCCTCCTCCTCCCAACTCAGGAGCTGAGGAGCAGAGACAAAGCACAGCAGAAAGTTCTCATAATCAGAAAAATCAGTCTGAGTTCTTTTCATGACCTTGAAATTACTCGCTTTTTGCAGCCAATGTTCTGGGCTGTGTTAATCCCACTTGGAGGAGAAGGCACTGGCGGAGGGGTGAGTGCCGGCACCCAGCACCTCATTAGGCCGGCAAGCTGCTCTGAGTGCAGAGAGGATGGCCCCCTCCAGGGGGCGCGGAGGAGGGCAGCTTCACGCCTCCACAGGCGGGGCTCTGGGGCCACCCAGCTCTGCTCTCCTGCTGCCTGCAGCCGGCGTGGCCAGTGCCACCTGCAGGGTGGGCGTGAAGCAGAACACACAGGAGTGTGTGCCACACAGGAGTGTGTGCACAGACGAGCAGAGCCAGATGTACAGACATTAAATTCAATGTCTGCTCACTAACTGCTCCCCTCCCTGGAAGAAAAAGGAAAGATAATTTCCAAGAAGCAAACACTGCTGATAACCCCCCAAGTAACGAATTAGTCGTTACCTTATGCTCTCCGGGGCCCAAGCCTTGCCCGCGACCCAAACCAGATGGTAAACATGAACGTTTTTAGAAGTTAATTTAAAACCAATTTGATCCTCAAATTCATTGCCTGTATATAGAATCCTAATCAATCAGCCAACACTCTACCAAAATCGTGTGAGCCCGGTGTCCCCTCTGGGGCTTAATTAGAAACTGCTATGTGCTGTTTGCCAACTTTACGTAACGCGCTTACACCGGTAAGACTCTGGCGTCCACACAAGTGTGAACTCTGCTGGCTGGGGGCCTTGTTTATTAACACACGCGACTCCCCGTCTCTACAGAATGATGCCTAGAAGATTTTTGGTAGAGACGGTACCTTCTTTCATCCCCTTCAAAAGCATCAGAGAAGAGAATGCTTCTTCCCTCCATTCTCTCCCCTTGAAAGCTTAGTTCTCAATTTGTTTGTGCTGTGCAGAAAACCACTTGCCCCAAAATGACCAGCTAGTTTCCCCAAATGTCCTGTCTGCAGAAGATAGCTGTTTTGGAGAGGGGCGGCCTGGGATGATTTTGATGTAATACATTATGTTCTGACGATACACATTAGTGTGACAACAGTTGGAATGTGGGTTAAAATGCCTAAATTAGAGCAGACTTTTATCAGCCATCATTCCAATTACCGGCACTCCAGCTAACTACCCACCTTGCGCACTTCTTTCCATCGCAAACATTTCTGCAGCCATTTACTAGCATTTCAAATTGCCTTCGAGTCCTCTGGGTCAAAATCCTCCCAACCGAAAAGATATAGTTTTCTATATTATGGAAATCAAGGCAAGTTTAGGTTCATCACAGAAATAAATAATAAGAGCTTATAATGTGGCAATCCAAAAAAGAAGGAAAAAAAAAAACCTGTTCTCAATCATCCAGCATTTTCTTTCTAAACCAGAATTCCCAAACGCCGCTTGTTTGCCATGAAACTCACCCAGGAGCAATCTGTGGAAATATTTTGTTTTTTTGCAAGAAAAAAAAAAAAGTGGAGCTGACTTCCCGGCTGGGCCCCCCAAGATGCCCCGTTTCCCTTGTCTGTCCTGGTCTGCTCCCGGCCCTGTGTTTCTGGAATGGCAAAACCCGGGGGTGCTTGCTAGTTCCCATGTCAGCCTCGCTTTGACAAGTGGCTGTTCCAAGGACATTTATTTTTCAGAATGATGCTCTGGACCCCATTCTGGGCAGCAGCGTCCTTTAAAAAAAAAAAAAACACCAAGAAGATGTCTGTGTCTGCTTCCTTTTTGCCCTCTTCTGAGCTTTTTCACTCCAAAATGTGGACTGACTACTCCCAGGCAATTTGGTTTAACATCTGTTTCCTGTTGACAAGTTTTACTGTAGACACAGCTCGTGAGAATTTGTAAGGCAAGAACAACTGTAAATAAGGCCAAAGAGAGAGGAAAACAGATTCACAGCGGGGGTAACGGAGGGTTGTGGTTGCACCTGACAACTCGAGGGCGGCCAGTTTTCCGTATTATAAATAACGCAGGAATGAACATCTTTGTGCCCTGTCTCTTTGCACCTTTTCAGCTCTCTCCTTCACACAGACCTAAGCAATGGGGTTCCAAGGGCAGGAGTATTCCAGAGCTCTTGGTCCTTGTCACCACATTCACTTAACGAAGGAGCGGAGGGAAGGATGCACGCCTTCCATGCGAGATTTCTGATGATAAAAAGCCGTGCTTTCCCACCCAGTGGTGGAGACTGCAGACCACCATGGGGAGCGATGCTTTCAGTACAGAAGGGGGAGGAGGGGCCGTCAGACAGGCAGGGTTTCCCCGTCTCTCCCTCTTCCCGGCTGGAGAACCTGGGCAGGCCGCCCCTCCCCACCCGGGTTCAATTTCCTCCGCTCTTTCTAGTGACAGTTGCATGAGAAGTGCTTAGCACAGTTCCTGGCCCTTAGGAAGCACCTCAAAGAGTGAGTAGGGGGAGGGTAACAACGGGTGAGGATAAAGATCATAAACTTGAATGGTCGAATTTCAGGACCAAGCAGGCTGGGTGTGGGAAAAGACAACTTCTGTCAAATCCCAAGACACGGGGCACCTCCACTGCATTCCTCATTCCAAGACACTTCCGTTCACTTTCCCCGCACTCATTCATCCACCCTTCATTCATTCATCATTCAACCAGTATGTGTCTGCTGGGAGCCAGGCACTGTGCTGGGCCCTGGGGAGAGAGCAGCCAAGGAGAGGCAGTCCCAGCTTCCTGGAGCTGACAGTCCAGTGAAGGGGGACGGGTGGGGAGAAGAGGAAGCAGGAAAGGACACGTCTCTGGGAGCTAGAAAGGCCTGAGGACTACCGTGTATGGGGATCTGGAAAGGTCCCCCAAAGACCCCTCTCTGAGCTGAGCCCCGGAGGACGAGAAGCCAGCCTGGTGCTGCAGGCGGAGGGGGCAGCAGGTGCAAAGGCCCAGAAGAGGGAGGTCCAAGGAGGGCAGAGGGCGTCGGGGTGGGAGGCAGGGAGCGAAGGGAGGCGGGTGGCCGATCGGCAGGTGCCCGCACCCCATCCCAGGCGGCACCCCGACCTCTCCCCCGACTGTCACCGCTCTTCTGCTTGTTTTCCGCCAGCACCACGCTCGGCCCTGCCCGGCCTGCGTCCTCATCGCGCGCTCGGACGAGCACCACCCGCCCGTGCTGCCCCCGCGGCCGGCGCTGCGCCTGCGCCTGCGCCTGCGGGGCCGCTGGGTGAGCGCCGGCTGCGAGGTGCGCCCCGCCGTGCTGTTCCTCACCAGGCGCTTCACCTTCCACGGGCACAACCGCTCCTGGGAAGGGTACTACCACCACTTCTCCGACCCGGCCTGCCGGCAGCCCACCTTCACCGTCTACGCAGCCGGCCGCTACACCAGGGGCACGCCGTCCGCCAAGGTCCGCGGCGGCACCGACCTGGTCTTCCAGGTCACACGGGCCCACGTGACGCCCATGGACCAGGTCACCACGGCCATGCTCAACTTCTCCGAGCCGAGCAGCTGCGGGGGCCCCGGGGCCTGGTCCCTGGGAACCGAGCGGGATGTCACGGCCACCAACGGGTGCCTGCCGCTGGGCATCAGACTCCCCCACGTGGAGTATGAGCTTTTCAAGATGGAGCAAGACCCCCTCGGGCAAAGCCTGCTTTTCATCGGACAAAGGCCCACAGATGGGTCGAGTCCCGACACCCCCGAGAAGCGCCCCACGTCCTACCAGGCGCCCCTGGTTCTCTGTGACGGGGTGGCCCCAGACTTCTCCAGGCCCCAGCCTCACAGGCCTCTGCTGCAGAAGCCTCTGGGCGGTGGGGGGCCGTGTCCTCAAGGGGTCCCTCTTCACTCTCTGCTCCTAGTTGTGGGGCTGGTCTTTCTCCAGTGGTTATGAAATGGGTCCACTTCCAGAGGCTCCTCGGGCGTCCATCTGACTCTGCAGACTGCCCCGCACGGCCCCTCCGTCCACCCGTGAGGAGGGGCCAGTCCTCTCCCCCTTCTCTGTCATGGACACTACATGGCCCAGCTGCTGCCAGCTCAGCCTGCATCCCCGGGGCTCGGCACCTGAGTTCAGCAGCGCCTGCAAAGTCTAGACTACGGCCGGCGACCGAGCCCTGCCCATGGGTGGCGAGGCAGTAGCCATTGCTGCGAGTTTCTAAACGCTCACTCCCGGAGTCCGTGGGCAGTTGAGGACCAGTGGCGGGAGCCGACCGCACCGGGCCTCCCCGCCCAGTGGCACCCCCTTCTCTCCCTGCGCCCCTGGGATTGAGTGAGATGGGGGTGAAGTTCCGCCTGGGGATACCGCTACTGCTCTGCCATGTCTGTGTTGTTATTTAAAGATTATTAATTCTAATTTAGCAATACAAACTCAAACTGGAGCCATGAATTAAAGATGCTGCTTCGGGCTTTCCATCGTCCTCAGCCGTCTGGCAGAGGGCTCATCTCTTTGGGGGCCACTCGCTTTCTTGAGCTTTCACTGCTGGCATTTGTCTGCAGCTGCCTGTGCTTCTGCGAGTCAGGCCTCAAGCTGTCAACACCGCGCACGGTAAGCCAGCCCCGCCGGGCCGGCATGCCAGCGAAGGCGGCTCATCCGGGCAAGACCCGTGGCCCCCTCGCCCACACCAGGCTCCAGCAGGCGCGGGGTGGCCGCCAGGGGTGGGTCTTTGGAGGAAAGCCGCGTTTCCAGCCTTTGGAAAGTAATTAATACTAATGATGGTGGTAACACCAGCATGCTGTGTAATTAGCCCTGCACAGGCGTCCTCCGTCTGCAGGATTCCCTGTGCCTGCCTGACAAGGAGGGAGAGAGACCTCCGACTGTCTTTGGGACCACCCTAGGGAGAGGTCAGGGTCACCAGCCTACACGGCGACATCTGGAGGAGGCGGCAGCCCGTTGCGAGGATGCCGATGGCCTCCTCTGCTCAGAGAGGCTGTCATCGAGGTGGGGACAGGCCACGCCAATTCAGAGCCCCTGCCTGTGTTCCCAGGACCTCATCCGGACGCTGCAAAATTGACTGGCATCCTGGTGAGCCTAAGGGCCTCCGGACTCTGTGCTGCCCAGCGCCCCTCCGTCCTCTCCCCACCTCTCTCTGGCTCTTATCACAGATCCTGAACCACACCTGCCTCCAAGGCTAATGAGGTTTTCAGAGGGAAGCCCTCGTCCTCCGTTAGATTGTGTGGGGTTCAGTCAGCTGCTGAAATTGCTCTAACTTATGTAACCATTCTTTAAAAAACAAAAAACAAAAAACAAAAAAAACCCACCCAGTTAATATTCTCTGTAGCTCTCAGAGAGCTATGAGAGTTCCTGGCATATTTACCAAAGTACAAGAAATAATTAGATTATTTATGGGCTCAGACTGCGTCGGGGTTGGGGGTTCCTGGTGGGGATGAGGGTGGGTGGCAATAACGTGTCCACAGCTGAGCAAGTCTTGTATCTGAGGCTTGAAGCAACCATGCCATCGTTAACCATCAAATTTGAATCTTTTAATAAAATTAAACAGCCTGAAAAATGTTCTTGCTGGTTATTAAAGTCAACCAAGGGGATTATGATTCTAAAGAAAGGAACTGAAGTGCCTTCCAAAGAATGTGTGCAAGAGAATAAAACCAGTGGAGGTAAACCCCGCTCTCTCTATTATGTGCCTTCAGTTCACGCTACTGCCCTGCCCTGCTTAAAACTCTCCAGGGGCTTCCAGTGCACTCAGAATAAAATCCTGATTCCTCACTCACGAGGCCCAGCCACACCTCCCCACACCACGGCTGCACTGGCTTTGCTTCTATTTCTTGATCACACCAAGCTGTTTCCTGCCTCAGGGCCTTTGCATGTGCCATTGCTGCTGCCTAACATCTTCAGAAGCTTGGCTCATTCTTTTCATTCAAGTCTCAGACCAAATGTCACCTCCTCAGGGAGGCCCACCATCAGCATCCCAAAAAAGCAGCCTCCCTTTCCTTTCTGTCCTTCCGGCTATCCCATCCCTCTGTTTTATATTCTTTAAAATGCTTGCTGATCATTGTGTGAAATGATTTATTCACGCTCATTCTCTGCCTCCTCTATGACGAGTATCAGCTCCCTGGGAAAAGCGAAGGACAGAGCTGTCCCCGTCATCTTTTCCAGCAGCTCCAGCAGTGCCTGGCACATGGCAGGACCTCAGTAAACATGGTTGGGTAGAGAGACGTTGGTGATCCTGGTTAATCCTCACACCAGAACCTGGGACGAGGTCCCTGCCGTGTGCCAGGTCTGGGGTCCTGAGCAGGAGGCCCAGCAGTGTGGGTGCAGGTGCCTCTCTGCATCCTGCCAAGGCTCAGAGCGGAGGAGGAGCTTGCCCCAGGTCCCCGGCGGCTGGGCCCCAGAGCCTGAGATCTGAGCCTCCCTCTCGGGCGTCCTCTGGGCCTCCGCTCCCCTGGCAGGAGTGGCATTATTTCACTGTGTTTGGGGAAAGCAATTCAGAGCTGTTTTGTGGGACTCGGCTGAGCACCCTCTACTTAGGAGGCATGTGGGAGGGACAGAGAAGGCTCTTGGCCCATTGAGTGGACTGAGCCCCCGACCCCACCCCAGGGCCTTCTGTGCTGGAGAAAGGACAACAGACGTTTTCTCCCGGGCATGAAGCCACGATCCCCAGACTCTGGGCTCCAATAAGGAGGGGTCGGTTTGGGGCCGAGGGGCCGGGCTTAGGCCAGCAGACCACCACCTGTCTTGGCTCATCGTTTGTCCGGGCCTTCCACGTGAAACCTGAGATAGCTTTAATCAAGAGAGGAAAATAAAACCCACAGTTCTAGTTCAAAGCAAAACAAAACAAAATTAATGTTCTCCATTGTATGTTCAGTCACGTTTAAAAGGAAAAAAAAAAACCCTGTGCAGTTTATAATTTCATAGCGCAAGCTCCCAGGAGAGCAAATGAGCTTTTTTTTTTAATAAAAAGTTTAAATTGTATACAGCTCTCAGAGGCCCATTAGCTAACAGATGCTGGTTATCAAAAGAAGTTATTTCTTTGCTTTTTCTAAGTGAATGTGTTTAATCTCCCTGCGGTGCTACTGGCCTAAGAAAGCGGCTAACGGTGGCGCAGGCTGCCGCGCTGGCCCTGGTCTCCTGGGGCCGGTGACTCAGGCTGACTCAGGCGGGAGGAGGCTGCAGGGGAGGGAGGGGATGGCGGCTTCCTGATGCAGAGGAGAGAGTCGCATTCGGTTGTGGCCTGGGCCGTCTCCCGGCAGTTAGTGGAGCCCAGCAGGGAGGGGCCGGTTCACTTACGGGGGGCACACTTGGGCAGCAGCCTGTGACGGCCAATCCACTCTTGATGGCCTGAAGGGACTGGGAGCCGACTCCTTCTCACGCACATAACCCCATCAGATGGATGTGAGGGTGGGTCCCCAGAACTGACCTGCTAAGCTTCCAGGCTGACCCTCCTCCCACTTCCTTTCTACCTCCATCCTCCACCCCAGCCAGGGAGCCCCCTGCTATTCTTGAATCACACCCAACGGTCCCTCCCAGGGTCTTGCATAGCTCCTCCCTCTGCCTGGACGCTGGGCCCGCCCCACCCCTACCTCGGCACCCTGATATTTTCACCACAGCACTGATCAGAATCTGAGATGCCCTCCTCGTCCGTTTCCTTATGTCTTGCCAGCCTTGCCCGTCTGGAGTGAGTTCCCTGACCACAGGCCTTGTCTGTCGTGTTCCCCACTGCACCCCTCAAGAGGGCGGACGGGCCTGGCACCTCAGAGGAGCTTGATGAACACCGTTAACCAGGTAAACACTCTGCGAACTGGTTGGAGCTCTGAATTCAAGCATCGAGTTGACAACCACACGCTCTCAACTGGAATTTTGATGTTGCTATTTTTTCAATAAGATGGGCAGTGCAGAACCCAGAACTGTGAACTTGAGGAGACCTGCTCTCCACCAGCCAGGCTCTCTCTAGGACAGGCACTGGGGCGGCTGCTGTCCTGGACACGCGCTCCCGAGAGGCCGTCTCAGGTTTCTCATACCCACAGAGGTCAGGGAGACGGTGAGACCCACCTCCCAGGCTCTCCATCTTCAGCTGTGGAGCCTTCAGCTTCAGTGTCGGCACCAGAAAATGAGCTAAAACCTGAGGATTCCTGGAGCCATCCTGCCCCGACTCGTGGCAAGACCATAACTGGTAGGAGATTCAAGAGGAATCAGTGATGTACTCTAAGAGGAAAGGCTTTACGCAAAGAATCTCTCAGTGAGGATGGGTCTTTTCCCCATGATGTCTTATTTATTTCCTAGGGGTTGGTCATTAATAACCTACTACTCTTTCTCCTACAGTTGGTATTTTTTTAATCCCTCAGGAGAAAAAAAGTTAACAGAAAACTTAGGTGGTGATTGCTTCTGTTAAAATCAACCGTGTCAGTTTAATGAGACCTGCATGTACGTCTTGAACACCCAACATGAGCCAGGTCCTGCGCCGGGTGCCTTGGGAGGAAAGCCTTGCAGACTTCCCACTAAAGTGGCCGAATGAAACACACGCTTTACCTCCACTTCCTTCTGAAGCCCCACTAAATCAGGGGAAAAGAATAAAAAGGCACAAAATCACATGGATAAACAAAAAGAAGAAGACAGCCAACAGGAGACGTCAGCAACATTCCGGCATCTGGAAAGCTGAGGGGTAACTTCTCATTGACAGCAGATCACGGACAGCAGAAGGAAAAGCACCGGCAGGCTGGTCGAGTGGCAGAGCTCAGGAGCAAGTCCACTCACGCCCCGAAAGTTTAGGCACCTCAGAGGCGGGAGAGCAGTGGGGCTGAAACCAGGAGGACCACTTGGAGGTCTAAATGTCAAAGGAGTTTTCCTCCCAGATCCTCTCCCGAACCCCTGTAAGCAACCAGAAATGCAATCAGGGCACCTGTGGACTTGGAGACCGTCCAGGGCAAGATACCAAGCTAAAAATAGAGGTAGTAACTAACGCTACACATCAAACCGTGAGGCTGCACAGCCGCTCTCCCGGAGGGATGGTGGCCAGGCTTTTCCCTCCAGGCAGGAGACTGGAAGATTCTTCTCCAGAGAAACAAGCCCGGGCCAAACCAACTACAGATACCGACAGCCAGAAATTCCCCAGGGAGGTGTCTGTTCGGTCCCTACCCGGTCAGCTTTCAAAGAAACACACCATTCAACAAATCCCACCTCCACATACGCAGCTTCCCATCAGCTTTTAGGGCTTCGCTCACAAATACACAGGACGGTCAAGATCACCAGGCACTTGAGGAGGGCCTCCAGGAGGACAGAGGCACAGACCTAGTCCAAAGTGACTCGTCAGTGGCAGATAATGCAGGGGGTAGGACAACAACTTGAGAATCCTCAGTGAAAACAATGTTAACCTTTGAAAGGCCACCACCACTTTTCAGTCCCTCATATAGAAGAACAAAAGCAGCACTTAGAGAACAACAACAAAAGAACTATAATAGCCTCAACGAAAAGAACATTTTATACATCCAGCAAAAGCAGGCTGCTATAAACAAATAATAGCAACTGGGAAAGAAAGAATTCTTGAAAATTATAAATAGGACAGCAGGAAAAAAATTTTAAAAATTGGAAATGAAAATTGGAGAATTTCCCCAGAAATGAAAAGAAGGATCAGGAATTAAAATGGCATCAGACTTGGGGCTGGCCCCGTGGCCGAGTGGTTAAGTTCGCGCGCTCCGCTGCAGGCGGCCCAGTGTTTCGTTGGTTCGAATCCTGGGCGCAGACATGGCACTGCTCATCAAACCACGCTGAGGCAGCGTCCCACATGCCACAACTAGAAGGACCCACAACGAAGAATATACAACTATGTACCGGGGGGCTTTGGGGAGAAAAAGGAAAAAATAAAATCTTAAAAAAAAAAAAAAAAAATGGCATCAGACTTCTTTGGAAGCTGGCAGTCAGTGAACAATGCTTTCAAAATCCTCAGGCTGATGGCCAATGTTGATTTTTCTACCCAGTACAACAATCAAGCGGGAAGGCAGAATGGAACATGTTCAGAGATATAAGGTTCTCAGAAAAATCATCTCCCACATTCTCCTTTCTCAGAAACCTGCTAAAGGATGTGCTCCACCAAAATGAAGGAGTAAAATAAGAAAGAGGAAGCCAGACATCCAGAAAACAGGAGACTCAACCCAGAATAGGACAAAGGGAGTTCCCAAGAAGACAGAGAACGAAGGGTCTTTCTGGGATGATAGCTGTGCAGTAGGTCTAGAGAGGAGTCAGTCCACTGAGGAGTAAGAGAATGGAGAGCTCCAGGAGCGACCTTTTGGGGGAAAAAATACAAAAATCACAGATCACTTGATGTGTGCATGCATCCATCAGAGTCTCGGGCTGAATTCCTGATAAGACACATGGGAAACCAAGCAAACACAACACTGAAACTGAGTAACTCCAGGAGGAAAAGAGGTTATGTATGAAAGGGAAATATAATCCCAGAACACACAAGATGCAGCTGTGAACATTTTAAAACTTAATTATGCAAAAGGATACTGGATATTATGACACAGTAGCCAAAAATTATGACACAACACTACGAGGGGG